AACTATAACGACATGTGAATAATCCCACCCACTCTAAAGCGGTACTGAACTGCAGTGGAAACGCAAACCGAGCCGTGCCGTGCCGTGCCGTACTGAGCCGTACCAAGCCGAATCGTACCATGCAGTGGAAAAGCGCCATTAGTGCCTCTCTCCTGTTGCTGTTGTTGGAGCTGGGAGGGATGTATACAGGAACGAGCAGTATGGCTGTATATTCCCTCGGTAGATAGAACGGCCGGCACTTAATAATCATAAACTCCACCAGGGGTGAGCAGTGTTTGCAGACCACAACAGCATCGCGGCACCACGCATCATTGATGTAAACACAAAGCCCGCCGCCGCGGGTCTTACCTCCCTCGACGCGAGCTCTGTCCGCTCGATAGCATGTCAGCTGATCGAGATGAATAGCGCAGTCCGGAACGCTGTTGTTGAGCCATGTTTCCGTGAACACAAAAACACAACAGTCTCTTACAGTCCTCTGAGTTGAGCGTAGTAGTCGGATGTAGTCCAGTTTATTGTACAAAGAGCGTACGTTAGCCAGTACGATGGTGGGGATAGCTGGCTTGTGTGGGTTAGCCGTTAGCCTAGCCCGGATACCTCCGCGCTTACCCCTCTTCTGCTTCCTCTCACGCCGCTTGTGGCGCCTCCGCTGTGGGCGAGATGCAGTAGTGGGGGTCGGTGATGGTGTGGGCCTCCAGAGCGGACCGAGATCCTGCAGCTCTTCGGCGTGCGCAGAGTTTAACTCTACAAATGTGGTTCTGCCGACATCGAGCAGAAACTCACGATTGTATGCACGCTTAGAGAGAGGTAGACGCGATGAAGACGTACAAAAACACTGCGACTCACAAGACAAAAAACACGAAAACACCTTTCTGTCGGGAGAGAGAGAAGCCGCAGCGTGTGAACGTGCCGCCATCTTGTTTACATTTCATGTAAACAAGACACGCATACTTGTTTACATTTCCTTGAATTTGTACATAACACCTGTACATTCAAATACCATATATGGAGTATTTTTTTCTTTTGTGTATGTAGTTATTCCCCATTTTATTCATTTTATTATCAGTGTTGTGTCATTGTTTGTGGAAGCTTCCATCACCAAAATAAATTCATCGTATGTGTAACACTAAAACACCATTCTGACAGGAGAGAGAGAAGCCGCAGCGTGTGCACACACCGCCATCTTTTAACATGCTGATTGGTTGAGTTCACGCAGCATTGTATTTCAACCACCATTTGCATATATATATTTTTTTAAATATTACTGTTATTGTGTTATGAAATGTAGTTTAAAAGTATTTCAGGCGAGAATGTAGTTGTTTAAAACTCAAATCTGTGGTTTATTTATATAAAATGTGCTTCGCCGATTTCGGAGACGATCAGCTCCACACCTGAACATTTCTGCGGCTATTAATATGTTTAAATGAAAACGAAAAAAGGGCAGTGGTGTTTGATATATTTCGTCTTATTGTAAATACAGTGAGGAAAACTGCAGTAGCCAAGGTGAGCGGACTGATGTTATCAAGTACGCTGCTGTTTGCAGAATTACCGGACTTGCGTTGTCCCGTCCGCGGGAGTTCACACTCCTGAGTCGAACTCGTGAAGTCCGAACTACCGAGGATGCAAGTCCGAAATTTGCGTGCTTGGTATTGAAACGCGCGCAGACCTACATCACCAGACTATTTGCCTATTCTTCTCGGTACTTTAGACCGCGATGGAAACGCAGACAGCAACAGGTCTGGGGGGAAAAAA